TAGGCGAAGGAGTCTCGTGGCTCGGGCCCTGCTCTTGCACGCACTCGCCGCCACCGCGCCGACTGCCCCCCACCTCCCATCGCGGCTGTCGCGCCGGAGGCCCCTGCCGCCGATGGCCCTGCCGTTGCTGTCGCCCGGCCAACACTCCCCCAGAGCTGTCGCCACGGCGGGGGCATCCGCGAGGCAGCAGAGCTCGCCCGCGTGGACGGGAACTCGCTGATCCTGTATTCACGGGAGGCAAATCGCGGCGGCGACCTGGCAGCTCGCTGGCCGACACCTCCCGGCGCCCGACGCATTGCCGGGCGAAGTCGCCGACGACGCCCCCGAGCCCGGCGCCGACGCGCTTCGCCGCGACCCTCTTGGAAGACCGGCACGGTGGGAGCGCGGCGAATCAGGCGGCGCGCGAGTACCCGGGCAGCACCGCCCCGTCGACCCCAAGGACGTCGCTGCAGGCCCGGTCGCGCGCGATGATCCCGCAGATCTCGTAGAGCGCGCAACCAGCCCTGACAAGCTAGACGTCGAAGATTCCGGCCTACGCAACGACCTTGAGCTTGACGCGGCCGATGCGCCTGCGGCACACCCTGAGGCCCCCCAGCACCGTGCCTGAGCTGAGGCCCTTCTCGCGGGCGACGGCGGTGATTGTCTGGTGGGCCCTGCCTGCGCGCTCGAAGGCGAAGTCGGAGGCCCCGAGGAACCAGCTCTCACGGAGGGCCCCCCCGCCCCCCCAGAACCCCGGCCTCCCCCCTGCCCGCGCGCGCCGACAAGGGGCACGTCTGAGAGCAGGCAAACCACGCGGGCCCGCGCTCGCCGGCGGCGGTGAGCCAGTCGCGGCAAGCGCGCGGCAGGCCCCTCCTGGCCCTCGAAAATGGACAGCAGCCTCCATATAGAATCGCCCAGGAGCCGCAGGCGCCCGGGATGGAGTTGGCCCCAGCCTAGGCCGCCCAGGCCTGCCTCACCGCTTGATGACGTCTCTCGGGTCGGCCACCTCCAAGCGGGAAGGGGGGTCGGTAGTCCGCCAGGACGCGGCGCCCTCCTCCGCCAGCTATCCTGACATCCTGCCACGGGAAGAGCCAATCCGCTTGCAGCTGCTGCGCTGCCCCGCCGGCGTCGAGCAGGAGCACTGCCTTGTCGTCGGCGGGGGCGGCGGCCATTGCTTCAGCCGCGGACTATGGCTCGGCGAAGCGGCGCGCCAGCACCCCCCATTCCCAACCGCTTGCAGCTGCTACGCTGCCCCGCCGGCGCCGAGCAGGAGCACTGCCTTGTCGTCGGCGGGGGCGGCGGCCATTGCTTCAGCCGCGGACGATGGCTTGGCGAAGCGGCGCGCCAGCACCCCCCCATTCCCGACCGCGCCCTGGACCCAGTCGGCCCACTCCGCCCGCGAGGCGTCGACGCCCGCCCTCTGAGCATGGAGGAGCGCGCGCTGCGCGCAGACGAAGGCGAAGGTCGGCTTGGCCACGGAGGCCCCGGCCCGGCCCCGGCATCGTCGTAGCCTTGGCGAGGGCGGAGGGTGATGCGCTCCACCAGCTACTGCCGCCTGATAAGGAGGCCCCAGTGCTTTTCGTCGCCGGCACTGCCGGCCGCCCCCCCCGCCTGCCCGACGTCTGTCCGGCGCCAGCGTCCGCTCGACGAGGGCGAGCCTCCGCAGCACGCTAGCGAAGCCCCCCCACCGATGCGACATCTGGGGGCGTAGCTGCGGCCATCTCCCCCTGGCCGCCTGCTGCAAGCTGCCCTGCTGGAACTGAAACCCGAGGCCCCTCCCTGCCCTTGAACTGAAGGGCCCTCGTCGCCGTACTTTTCGAGGTACTTGACTAGGAGCTCCTTGGCGCCGTGGACCCACTGCCACGCGGCTGCGTCTGGCTCTGGGGGCCCCGTGCCAGATGGCCAGCCCCAGCCCCGCTGGGCGGCGCCGGCTGGAAGCCGATCGGCCCGTCCAGGGGGGGCCCAGCGAACTTCTTGATTTGCCGCGCAGACTTGTCCTCCATGAGCCCGCGGAGCTCGAAGAGGACTGGGCTATGGCGGGGGCCCAGGCGCGCTGGGGACTGGCCGACGCGGGCGCGTGCGGTGCTGGAACTCCTTGCCCGCAGCATCCAAGTCCATCTCGGAGAGGGCGCCTGGCGGCGCGGCTCCACGTTGAAGTCAAAGGGTGTTGGGCCCCCCCCCTCAACCTGAAGGCGGGGCCCCATAGGATCTCGGAGCTGCTGTCGCTGAGCCCCATCCCCATCCCGCAGGTAGACAGCGGTGGCGGTGCCCAACCCCACCTTGCCACTAATCATGAAGATCTGGCTGAGCACCCTGCGCGGCTGGGCGTAGTCGGCGTCGCGCGCGGCTGCGGCCCAGCGTCATCTCGCGTTAAGCCCAGCACCGCCCGAGACTGCTGAGGCCGCTTCGCCAATGGCTTCGATTGCCACCAGGTCGAAGTCGAAGCCCCTCTCGTCGTGCCATCGCCTGACCTGCTCGAGGCCGCTCTCCTTGACTCGGGTGCCACGCAAGAAGACCCAGCCTGGCTGCGAAAGGCCTCGTCGGAAAATGCCTCCCTGGTCTGTCCGAGCGCCGCCTCTACCGGCACGATGGCCCTCTCCTCGATCCAGTCTAGGGCGTCGCGGAACTTGCATTCGGTGTCGGCGTTGAACGCGCGGCACACGATGCCGTTGAACTGTCTGCCTCTCGGCCGCTGCTGCAAGGATCTCCACGTGGCGTGGTTTCCAATCCTCTGGTCCTTCATCCGGCGGCCTTTTGGCGGTGAGTTTGTCCAGCAGGTCTGGGTCTTCCCAGTCGGGCCCTTGCTCGGGTGGTAGTGCCGCTCCTCGGCTGCCAGCGCTTTGGCCGCGAGCGGGTGCCCCATCAGCACCAGGCCTGAGACCGCCACCGCCAGAGCTGCTGGCAACTCCTTCCATAGCTGCGTCACCTTCATTCTCGGCTTCGTCGGCTGCCTCGTGGAGGATGGCGAGGGACGTCTGGTAGGCCGCGTCGACATTGGTGTTAACGTGCGTGCAGGACTGTGGCCTGATCGTTTCCCTCGCGTACCTCAAGCGCAACTCGACGCCAGTCAATCACGCAGCTTTCATCGAGCTCAAGGAAGAGTTCGGAGGAGATGATGCAGGCAAGGACATCGCAGACACGCTCGGGAAACTGGCCGCCAAGTGCGAGGAGGATCCAAAGAGTAGCATAAGTGGCAGTGCACCCACAAGTTCGGCGAGCTGGAAAAGCAGCAATCCAAGATTGCGGAGCAAATCGCGTCAGAGAAGCAGCGTCTCAAGGACCTCGACAAACAGCATGTCGAGGCAAAGGCCAACATCGAGAAGGTTCACAGGTCAGCGCTTGGAGGAGCAGGGCTCGAGGGGCTCGATACCCTGGGCCTGCTGCTCGAAGCGCTTGCGTTCCCAGGGGATACGCTCCGCGACTAACGCAGCGGAGGGCACCCACGCTCCACGACCCGCCCTCCATCTTTGCGACTGCTGCAAGCTACAAGCTTGTAAGACGGATGTGCACGGCGCTACGGCGAGATCCCCGTTTTCAAAACCACACGAGCCCCGTCCTTGCAACTGCTGAGGCTTTCAAACTTCAGGATTCAAAGCGGTGAGGAAGGCTCAAGCGAAACGCGCGGCCCGCCCTACCGACAGGCCTGGATGCGCGGTACAGAAGAGCTACCTATACGACCACCCTTCGGGCGTTAAGGAGGTGGACGGAAAAAAAACTGATCGCAATATTGGTGTTTGTGATGAGGATTATGTCGGTGATGCGCCCTCGGGTTGGCAACGATCGATTTCACAACAGATCGCACTATCGATCTCCCAATCGATCTCACCGTCGATTTGACAATCGAACTCACGATCGATCTCTCACGATCGATCTCAGAACAGTGTTCTCACGATCAGTCTCATAATCGACCTCCCAATCGATCTCACAGTCGATCTCATCATCGATCTCAATGTCGATCCCAGCATAGATCTCACAAGCGATCTCACCATCCATCTCACAACAAATCTCACGATCGATCTCACAATGGATCTCACACTCGATCTCCCCCACGATCTCACTATCGACCTCGCCGCCCTGCTCGGGGACACTGGCTCGCGCCGCCCTGCTCGGGGACACGGAACACCGACGGGACACCGACGCGCCACCGACGGGACACCCCCGGCCACCGCGCGCCCGGGGGGGGGAAGGAGCGGACAACCGGCTCCACAGCCCCCAGCCACGGCGGCGACACTGCCGGGACACCGACGGTACACCGACACGCCACCGACGGGACACCCCCAGCCGCCGCGCGCCCGGGGGGGTTGGGGGCGGACAACGGGCTCCAGCACAGCCCCTAGCCACGGCGGCATCACTCTTCTCGCGCGCCCACGCAGCTTCGCCTCGCCCAGGCGCACGACACAAACACGAAACCGAAATCGATTTCCCGCTGGAGGGGCTGTCCATTCCACTGCGACCTCGCCCCCTAACCTCCGATCTACAGGGAAAGGGCATGGAGAAGGAGAAAAAGGTGGAGGAGAAGAAAAGACAGCATTGGGGGGAAACGGAAAGAGGGGGGGAGGGGGAAGGGAAGGGGACAGAGAGAGAGGGAATGGGAAAGCGAGAAGGAAAGAGGCATCGACGGAGATGCATAACATAAAAATGTAACGATACAGCGAAATAGACACGCGAACACAAAGATACAGCCATAACGGATAAGAGAGAAGAGCGAGAAAGAGAGAGAGAGAGAGGGGAGAGATAGAGAGAGAGAGACAGAGAAAGACAGAGAGAGAGAGAAAGAGAGAGAGCGAGAGACAGAGAAAGAGAGAGAGAGAGAGAATAACAAGAAAGAGAAAGGGAGAGACCAGATTGGGCAGGGGGGCAAGGGAACGGGAAAGGAAGAAGGAGGAAGGGCAGGCGCAGGAAAATGGAGAGAGACAGAGAGAGAGGGGAAGAGGCAGGAGGGGTGTCCTCATCCTTTCTCTTTCCTCCCCCTTGCCTCGCATCACTCCCCCCACCTCCTTCCACATCCCTCCTGGGAAAGCCTCCACGAACCCTCCTGAGAGTTCGTCCGCGAGGAGGAAAGCACCGCCGATGACAACCATGCCCAGGCAGTGCCTGATGGGGGCACCCTTGTTTCCCTGTTCTACCTCCTCTTGCCCCTCCGCCTCCTCCTCCTCGTCGCATTCTTCCTCCTCGTCTTCCTCCTCCCTCCTCATGCTCCTCTTTTTCCTCCTCCGTTACCTCCTCATCGCTTCCTCCTCTTCCTCGTTCTCCCCATCGTCCTCCTCCGCCTCGTCACCCTTCCACTTCATACGTCCTCCTCCTCCTCCGCCTTTTCCTCCCGCTCCTCATCATCATCATCATCAGCATCATCATCATCATCATCATCATCATCATCATCATCATCACCATCATCATCATCATCACCACCACCACCACCATCATCATCATCATCATCATCATCATCATCATCATCATCATCATCATCATCATCATCATCATCATCATCATCATCATCATCATCATCATCATCATCATCATCATCATCATCATCATCATCATCATCATCATCATCATCATCATCATCATCATCATCATCATCATCATCATCATCGTTTTCCTCGCCCGCATCGTCCTCCCCTCACCACCCTCCTCCTCCCCCTCCTCCTTCTCCTCCTCCCCCGCGACGACGACAATGTCAACGTCGTCAACGTCGACGACGACGACGACGACGACGACGACGACGACGACGACGACGACGACGACGACGACGACGACGACTGTGGTGCGCTGGAACTGGTGGTGCAGGCTTTCTGGCCCAGGCGCTGCCCGCAGCCCCAGTAGGTGCCGATCACGAACGCCCGGGCGGGCGCGGCCGTGGCACTGAGGGGCCGTCCAAAACTCCTCCTCCCTCCTCCCCCCTCCTCCCCCTCCTCCTCCTCCTCCTCCTCCTCCTCCTCCTCCTCCTCCTCCTCCTCTCTCCTCCGCCTCCACCTCCCCTCCTCCTCCTCCACCTCCTCCTCCTCCTCCTCCTCCCCTCCTACCTCCTCCTCCCCCCCCCTCCTCCCCCTCCTCCTCCTCCCCCTCCCCTCCTCCCATCCTCCTCCTCCCTCCTCCTCCTCCTCCTCCTCCTACTCCTCCCTCCTCCCCTCCTCCTCCTCCTCCTCCTCCTCCTCCTCCTCCTCCTCCTCCTCCACCTCCTCCTCCCTCCCCGCCCTCCACCCCTCCTCCTCCTCCCTCCTCCTCCTCCTCCTCCGCCACCTCCTCCCCTCTCCCCCTCCTTCCTCCTCCTCCTCCGCCTCCTCCGCCTCCCTTCCTCCTCCCCTCCTCTCCTCCTCCTCCTCCCCCCACCCCTCCTCCCTCCTCCTCCTCCTCCTCCTCCTCCTCCTCCTCCCTCCTCCTCCTCCCTCTCGCTCCCTCCTCCTCCTCCTCCCCTCCTCCTCATCCGCCTCCTCCTTCCTCCTCCCCTCCTCCTCCTCCTCCTCTCCTCCTCCTCCTCCTCTCCCCTCCTCCTCCTACCCTCCCCCCCCCCTCCTCCTCCTCCTCCTCCTCCTCCCCCCCCCCCCGCCTCCTCCTCCTCCTCCTCCTCCGCCTCCTCCTCCTCCTCCTCCTCCATCATCATCATCATCATCATCATCATCATCATCATCATCATCATCATCCATCATCATCATCATCATCATCATCATCATCATCATCATCATCATCATCATCATCATCATCATCACACCCACCACCACCACCATCATCATCACCATCATCATCATCATCACCAGCAGCAACATCATCATCATCAGCATCATCATCATCAAGATCATCATCATCATCATCAGCATCATCATCATCATCAGCATCATCATCATCATCATCATCATTATCATCATCACCACCATCATAAGCAACATCATCATCATCGTCATCATCAGCATGACCAGCACCATCACCATCATCAGCATCACCATTATCATGATCAGCATCATCATCATCGGCAGCTTCATCATCATCAGCATCATCCTCATCATCAGATTCCTCCTCCTGCTGTACATATTCCTCATCCTCCTTCTGTTTACCCTTGCACCAGGGTTTTCCGATGCCCCAGCACTGATCACATGATTCCTCATTCTCTTTCGCCTCATCGTCAACACCACCACCATCGCCAGCACCAGCATTATCGACGTCAGCATAGTCACCAGAATCATCAGCATCACCAGTACCATCGTCATTTCTACAAGCATCATCACCACCATCATCAGCATCACCACCACCATCGTCATCATCACCATCATCAACAACAACATCGTCAATCCCCCTCACTTTTCATCCCATTCTTACGGCCCCTCCACCTATTCTTGCTTATCCTGTTCCTCCTGTTCCTCCTTCTTCTCCGCAATGCTGGCTTCCGTGCATCTACAGGCTAAGAACGCTCACCCACGTCGCGAGGCATGTGCCTCAAGGACACAGCCCGGCGGCAAGGCCTACATCCGCTACACGTTACCGCGGTACGTTTCATTTTGGACGCTGGCTGCGGGCAATGCCAGCCAGCACTCGCACATTCACATCTATGCACCCTCATCTCCGTCGCGAGGCAGTTTCTTCAAGGACTGAGCCCATCGGCAAGGCTAGCGGTCCTGCACGAACTCACGTTTCCGTGGTTACAACGGTCCGTTTCGTTTCGGACGCTGCCCGGCGGCGATGCCAGCTGTCGTGCATCTACGGATTGTGCGCCCTCACCCTGTCGCGAGGTGCCTCAAGGACACAGACTGGCGGCAAGGCCGGCGGTCCTGCATACTCTCACGTCTCTCCGTTTACCACGTTACGTATCCTTTGCGACGCTGGCTGGAAGCAAGGCTGGAAGCAAGGCTGTCACCCGTGCACGCTCACCCCCGTCGCGAGGCAGTTGACTCGCGAGGCAGTGGACACGAGGAGACAGCTCATCGGCAAGGCCGACGGTCCTGCACACTCTCGCGTCGCCCGTGTTACCACGGTTCGTCTCATTCTGGACGCCTCCTGGCAACATTACAAGCTTTCGTGCATCTACGAATCCTGCACGCCGACCCTCGTCGCGAAGCGGTTGCCGCAAGGACACAACCTGGCGGCAAGGCCAGCGGCCCTGCAAACTCTCACGACTACCCATTACTGGAGGTTCGGGGCGCTGGATTGCGGCACTGCCAGCCTGATTATGCACGCTCACCCCCGTCGCGAGGCAGTTGCCATCGTCACTCGTCCTCACTATGAATCCCATTCTTCCGGCCCGTCCTCCTACTCCTGCTTCTCCTACCCCTCCTGTGCATGCTGCTCCTCCGCCATGCTGGCATTCGTGCATCCACAGACTAAGAACGCCAACCCATGTCGCATGCGCCTCAAGGACACGGCCCAGCAGCAAGGCCAGCGGCCCGACACACTCGCGCATACATCCGCTACACGCTACCACGGCGCGCCTCCCCGATTACCGCAGTCCGTCTCCTCTTGGACTCTGACTGGCGGCTTTGCCAGTTTTCGTGAGTCCACAGATTCTGCGCGATTACTCCCGTCGCGAGGCACCAGCCTCAAGGACACTGCCCGGTAGCAAGGCCGGCAGCCCTGCGCACTCCCACGTCTCTCCTGTTACCACGGTTCGTCCCATTCCTGGGCACTGGCTGGCAGCAGCGCTTTCGTACGTCAACAGATTGTGCACATTTGCCCTGTCGCAAGACAGTTGTTCCAAGGACACAGCCTGGCGGCAAAGCCGACGGTCCTGCACCCTCTCACGTTGACCTGATTACCATGGTTCGTTCCTTTTGGGACGCTGCCCTGCAGCAACGCCAGCTGTCGTGCATCCACAGATTCTGCGCGCAAACCCCGTTGCGAAGCAGTCGCCTCAAGGACACTATCTGGCGGCAAGGTCAGTGGTCCTGCACGCTCTCACATCTATCCGTTCATCACGGCTCGTCTCCCTTAAAACGATGACATGCCAAAGAACGCTACAGGAAGAATCGCCTTTCCCATTCCCCTCACAGGGGGGGCCCAATGTTGTTGATTGCCCCAGCCGTTGAAAGGTGGTGGGGGGGCATCCGGACCGACGGAATTCGCGACCCCGCGCTGCACTGCAGCCGTAGCGAGTGGGAGCCAAGGAGGGTGCTTCTGAATCCGCCCTCCGTGTCATCCCTGTCTCCTCTCCCCGCATCCGGGAGCGCCTGCCACCCGTCCCTCCGCACCACGAGGAGCACGAGGTCCCCGGGAGGCCGCCGCGGGTAGGCGGGGCGCAACCGACGAAAGCCAAAACGCTGTGGCGCAGCCGCGCGCCGAGCGGTGCATCCGCGGCGGGGGGGGACAGCTGTTGACGCCATGCGCTGGTGTATGCAGGCGCGCTCGGGGGGGCACGACGCCCTGGGCGCACTGAATCGACGTATGCTTTGGCTGGCGGTCGAAGAGCGGTGATCGCCTTGTCTTCGAGCATGCGTCGACCCATCGTCCCCTCGGGTGGCGTTCCGCCCTGCTGTCAATCGGGTTCACCTTGTCGCTGGTAGGCCGGCGACCCGTCGTGCTGGGGAACCGAAAACCGTCACCCTTAGCGCGGCGATTACACCGCGTTGGAGCAGGTCGCCCTTGGCACCCCCAGGATGGAAAGATGCCCAGCTGCGGAGGGGGCCCGCAGACCCTCCCCAGGGAGGCGGTCGGCCCTTCTGTGCAGCAGGGCCCCTGTGACCCCTCCAGCGGCGGCAGTGGCGGCAATGGCGCGGGTCCGCCCCGTTCCCCCTTGGGGGGGCGAGCGTCCTGCCCGAGAGCGGCGCGGGCCCGCCCCGTTCACCCTGGAGGGGGGCGAACGTCCTGCCCGAGAGCTGGCCACCCGTGCCGCCCCCGGAGTGGTGAGCCGCCCTGCGGTGGAGCAGGTCCCCCTGACACCCCGTGGGTGACGCCCCGGCCTGCTGCAGAGCAGGTCTCGGATGTTGCCGCGTTGTGGGCCGGGTCCCCCCCGTCACCACCGGGACGGCAGTCCTTCCTGCGGAGGAGCAGGCGGTGAGACACGCAACGTGAGGTTGCACCTGTACGCTCGGCGGCGATAGGGGCTACCCCAGAGCGCCACCCCGTCGAACACTACAGGTCGAGAAGAAGGGTCTTTCTCGGGGTGCGTTGACTACAAATAGCATCCACCAATACCAGGTGCCAACAACGTCCCTGTTTCAGAGTCTGGGAACAGAAGGCTTGCCGTCCCAATCTTCACGAGCACCGCTTCAAGTATGGGAGAGCCCATGTGCCCCACCCGACTCCACAGGGCTACGCCGATCCTCAAGGGCATCAGCAGTGCACTACGATGCTCCTGCGAGCCTCCTCCCCCTCTTTTCCTTCTCAGGGCGATGAAGGCTAATGAAGAGCTCTGGGTGTTAAGCTCCTCCTCTCCATCATCCTCCTCCTCCTTCCACTCCTCCTCCTCCTCCTCCTCCTCCTCCTCATCATCATCATCAGCAGCATCAGCAGCATCATCATCAACATGGTAATAATAATTCCCCATATCCTAAGATGGGGTTCTTGTTATTACTTGGACGCCTCCTACTCCTCATTCTCCTTCTCCCCTCTTCTCGTCTCCTCCTACTTAGACTCACTCATACTCAGATTCACTCATACACAGACTTACTCATACACAGACTTACTCATACACAGACTCACTCATACTCAGACCTGATCACATTAACTTACTCATACTCAGACCTACTCATACCCAGACCTACTCATACTCAGACTTACTCATACTCAGACTTCCTCCTTCTCCTCCTCCTTTTACTCAGAGTTCCTCATACACAGACTTACTCATACTCAGAATTACTCATACTCAGACCTTCTCATTGTCTGACTTATTCGATAAACAGCAGATTGCGAGGATGTCTCAGGCGGGGCGCTGGTTTCAG